CATTTCTGATGCTCAGCCTGCTAAGTAGAAGAACAGGAGGGAGGTCTTTTCTCCTGTCCTCCCCATGGCAGTAATTGCCAGCCTGCTGCCTGGAGGGCAGGAAGCAAAGTGGCAGGTGACCTTTGACAGCTGAGCCATTCTGATTTTACTTATTATGATGAGACAGGATGGGAATGAGACATGAGGTTCGTACCTGGGGATTGTTCTTCTCTGGGGAGACAATAATCAGGATGGCCAGTGTCACTTTGCTTTCTCTTTTCTTTCATTATGCATTTTGTACACATAGTCTTTCCCATTTAACTTATTGGAATCTAACTGATTTATCATCACATAAGCATGAGCTTTCTCGCTTGACGTGTATAATCATTTTCCCCTCAATTACAAGTCCCATTTTCATGGAGGCATATCTTGGAGCTGGTCATCCCCTGTGTCCTCCCATTTTATGCCCAGTATGTAGCGCAGTGAGGCGCATAGAAGGCACTCAGTGAATAGCTGATGAATGAGTAAGTGAATGAACATGTCATTGCAGGAAATTCTGAAAACCCAGAATAACATGAATTTTTCCCACTATCTGGAAACACACGTACCATTTGATGGACAATGTCCTAGGGTGTGTTTCACTAGGGGAACGTGTCTTTGAACAAAAACGGAATCATATTTTATTGTGCTCTTTCCCTTAAGACATTAGCTATACTCCTCCAGGTCATTAAATGTCCTTCCACACATCAGTACATGACAGAGTCGAAGTTGTACTAGGTCTGTCTGTGACGGGAACTCCATGTCACAACCCCTACTGGGAAGGTGTGTTTTGTAATGAGACTTTCTGTAAGAGACAGGCAAGGCAAAATGGAATGGGGACAAAGTCCAGGTTTCCGATTCCAGGAGCTGAGACTGCTGTGACCGATGGCATTCTCCCAAACCAAACCTTCCAACCTGGAATTACCATAAACCATCTTCATCTTTTTTTTTTTTTCAGTATCAAGAATAATCTTTATTAAGACCACAATTAGTAAAAGGTTATATAGTGTTTTAAAAACATCCCAGAATCCACCGCGGGCAACAAGTGCTAGGGAATAAACATCAAAGCATAAGAGCAAATAGTGCCCTGGTGTGTGATGTTAAACTTTTCATTTGTTTAATTAAATCCATCTTTTCTCCAATTTAGGCAAAGGTTATATAGCAGAAGATGACATTTGTCACGGGTGGTTCATAAAATGGCAGTGGCTATGCTTCCAAATCTTGTTCACAGCGTCTTCCAGGCATATTACGTAATACTTAGACATCCTGGTTTGCTCCCTGGGAGGAAACCAGATGATGGTTTCAATGTTACAAGAGAAACAGACATGGAAACTTTGTCCGTGTGACTAGTCCTCATAGATGTGTGACTTATCTATATGCTCAATGGGCTAAAGAGAAACAACAAATTATGTGTAATTAGAGAAAAAATAAATTCAGTTCTTTTCAGGCATAAATGTGTATTTAAAATTTCCTAGTAAACAAATAATACTTCTATTAATATAAGTGAAGAATCTCCCATATTTCCAAATGATGGTGAATGGACCTTATAATGAATTTTATATTTGATCTCTTCTTTGTAAATATGGTTGTGAAAATTGAGTTATATATTCTTCTTTTTAAAAATTCTCCCCTTAACACACACTTGTCAGACAATGTGGCACACTACGCGACACCACCAGGAAGATGCCTGAGAAGGCAGACGTGCCCTCCTCACTACCTCCCCCACTTTGTTTTACTTTGGGGATTTAACATCAAAATATAAACTCTTGGAAGGTCTTAATCTTTTCACATCTTCTTTAAAGATCAGTCTTTTCTTCGTAACGACACCTGCATGCGGCTCGCTGACTGTCCAGGTAGGGTTTACAGCCTAAATGTATGACGCTGTCAAACAAGAGCTCCACCGTTTTCTCACATGCCTGGACGTACTGAGCCAGTCCCAGTGTCTTCTGCACGGCCCGGCAGATCTTGGACAGGCAGTACTGGAACTCCTCATCACAGTCATTCTTGCTTTGGCCACAGGTCTCATAGCACCTGTCGTGTTGGTTGCAGCACTTTGTCAGGGAAGGGATCCCAATGTTAAGATGAACACCAAACAGTGGAGAGCCACAGCCATTCGGCGGGGAGGGTTTATAACCATAAGGTGGGAAAGGCTTAGATCCGTCGCTGCACTTGTACTGGCAGAGCCCGTCCTCGCCTCCCAGGAGGTCCAAGGCGGCGTTCAGGTACGTGTCTATCTTGTGCACGCCGTTGTGGATGGTCTTCAGCGTGGCCCTCCAGTCGGTGCTCTGGGCCTGCTCCTGGCACCCGACGGCGGCGGCCAGCAGGGCCAGCAGGGCCAGTAGGAACCGGAGCGGGGGCCGCGGGAGCCGGGCCATCCGCGCAGCGCCAGGCCGCGCCGGGATCCTTGAGCCCCCGAGCCGCGGCGGCGGGCGCGCCCCCACGGAGCCCCCGGGACGCCCTAGGCAGCTGCGGGGGTCCCGGGGTGTGCGGCCGCCGCCGGCTCCACGCCCACGCCTCCTTCCCAGCCCGCGGCACCCACGCTGCCCTCACAGAGCCGCCTCCCGGCGGCAGCGCCGCAGCGGAGCCGCGCGCCCAGCGCCCCCACCTTCATCTTTTTAAGGGGTTTACAAGTTCCCAGAAAAGAACATTTGTCATGTGATGGAGGCAAGGAGCTGGGGTAGAAAGAGCACTGGCCAAGGTGTTGTGAGTGTCCTGGGGTCTGTTCCTTCAATGAGCCGTTTATAGCCCCTCCATTAGAAAGGGATTTGGAGGTGGATTTCTTCTTAATGAGTAAAAGAGTGTCATCCCTAGGGGATGTGGTGTACATGTAAGAAAAATAAATAGGCTGGGACCTTGTAAAAGATGAATTCATAGATAAACAGATCTTCCCTTTCCTAGGGAAAAAACCTGGATCTCCTTCCAGTAATTAGAAATGTCACAAAGCAGAAGACCTGGCCCATTAGGCCTGTTGCTTGCAAGTTTGAATGCTGTGTGTCAGCTTTAAAAACTAGCTCCTTTATAAATTTTTCACGTTAAGCACGTGTTGGGAGTATGCCTCACTGCCATTCACTGACCACTCTCTCTCTCCTTTCTGCCTCTGTTGTCCCTCTGTCCTCTAGAGAACGTCTGTGAATAGCAGGGCCCAGCATCGTTGTGAGAAGGTCAGAAAGGCACCCCCACTGTTTCATCTGACAGTTCCCTTGGGCTTTGGGGCTCAGTTCTGTGGGCCGATCAGTATTAGCCGACCACAGCTCAGCACCCCACACTCAGCCCAAAGCAATAAACAAACCCAACCTGCAGGCCCTAACCAGTGTGCCCAACCACGGTTTCCTCACCCGGCTCATGTCCCTGCTTTCACTGCACAGAAACTCATTTCCCTGTGAGTCAGGCTCAATCCTCCCCACACCTCTACCTGCCCCTCCTCTACTGCCTTCCAATGAGCCGTGGGCGAGAGGTTCTGTGGGAAGGATCCCCCTTTATCTTTGCCTGTTTGCTTCCCCTGTAATAAAAACCTGAAGCCTGCCCTTGCCGTGTGGATTCCACAGTATTCCCATCCTCACCCGCGGGCGAGGCGTCCTGCGGTGCCTCCTCAACAGCCAAATGGGAGAGAGGGGTCCGCAGCCACTTGCCGCCCTCTGCCATTTCCACCTTCTTCACCTCGAATTCTTTGTGACTTATCTTTTCTGAAAGCACTGCCGAATTCTTTACTCCTTTCTCTCCAGTTTTACCAATGGTATCTGCACTTGTGATTTCTAAATGAGAGGGATTTTCAAGAACACATTCCTGAAGACCCCCCCAAACTTGCTATGCCAGAACCACCACGATTCTGGCCCAGGAATCTGCATTGTTCAAACACCCTCCAGATGCTGCTGATGTAGACAATCTGGTTAGTAATGTTCGGGCACAAAGCATCTCTCTATTGTATTTGTTGATAGAACTTTATAATCCTCTCCCACCCTTCTGGAAAATTTCCACAGCTCATTCACAGCTCTTGATCTGACATATTCACTGCCAATATTCTTAGTGACAATAACTATATTGTTGAACCTTCCGGATACACTGGCTTCACCAACTCTAGCCCCTACTCCTGAACTAATTTTTAAACAGTTTCTTTTTATTCTACCTAAAGAATGGCTCTCACATGAGTTTCCCTCCTCTTTATTGCCACTGACTTTGAATTCAGATCCAGGCAAAAATTCTCCTCCCTGGAAGAGCCTTCCCAGTAGCCACACCCCAGATTCTGGGAGAGAGTTTGTGGTTCCCAAGCACATGGTTCACAGCTGCTGGGTCATCTCACCCCTCTGCTCAGAGCTGCTTTCACATGTGTCTGTTCCCCTGCTGGACTGCAGGCCCCTCTAACTAACTAACATTTAGACAGTAGCTTACAGGTCATAAAAATGCTTTCCTTTCTATTTTCCTGTGTAACTTTCCATTCATTTGACAACATTTACTATTCTAAAGGGGAATTGAGACATGCAGACAGACACAACACAATTTAACAAGAGCCTAAACAGAGGCACACATGGGTGGCATTCCGAACTCTACTAGGGTATGGCAAGCCAGTGAATAGTATTATAATAGCTGCTGATTTTTTTTACTGAAAATGCAACACTATGCTCTATGTTAACATGCTTTATTTGATCTAAGTCACAGAGAATCTTTGAAATTCTTGGTGAAGACACCGCAGTTTAGAGGTACATGTTTAGGACGTTCTCTGAGGTCACACAGGTAACGGATGCAGAGCCAGGACTGAAGGCTGGTTTGTCTGACTCAGAACCTGTGATACACTAAACAAGGCCAAGAAGGTCAGCTGTGGAGACCCCCTCTCCACTCTAGCATGATAGGGAACATGCTAAGACCAGGGAATTTGTGAGCATGGGCCCCCTGTCATACTTCATTTCCTATAAAATCAGTTCCTTGATCAGAAGCAATGCCTTTGGCTCTCTCACTATTGGATAAGTGTGGGTGTGCCATTCTCCCCAGAACCCCAGATTGTAGTTGGAGGGTTTCCGAGAGACTACAGGTTGACGACCCTTCAGTACTTCATATACGAAGCCATGAGCTGGGCTGCATCTGTAGGTAGCGAGGTCAGGGGGCTCAGCTGTGGAGATCTGGGGGCAGCAGAGTGACAGAAGAGTAAGGAAGCGGGTTGTGGGGGGAGAGATGACCCAGCTTGCAGTGATGGCTGGTACCTACTGATTCTTACTTCTAATGGAGGTTCCACTTGGATAACAGGCTGGCCAGACAATAGAAGAATCAAACAATAGAAGAATGTCCCCCACTGTGCCCTCTCCCCACCCCCACTGCCTTCCCAGGATTCCTAGCCTGGCTTCTCTGGAAGCAGAGCTGACCCAAAGTCTGCCATCCAGGTGTTTTACTTGGGATTGACCTTGGGGTTCAAGACTGAAAGACGGGGGAGTAAAACAGGAAGGAGCAAGGCTAATGCCAGGACATGTTACAGGGCTGGCCACAGGTAAAGGCCACATGACTGGTGGTCAGTCCCACTGGGACTTTCTGAGGAATATAGTAAGAAGTGTCCCAGCACCCTCCACTGGGAGTCAGAGAGAAAAGCACCTACCCACCGGCTTCCATCTCCTATTGGTAAAGGGTATCCCCCCATCGTTAACTTTCCTGCCTTTCTTGGTTGTGCACATGTGGGTGCCCAGCGGGTTTCCCTGGAGTACGCAGTGGAAGGTCCGTGGAGCCGACCCAAAGCAAGGTGCTGCCAGGCTGTGCCTGCATGACACGGGTCAAAGCCCACGTGGAGCTCACCGCTGTGGCAGTGCCTGGACAAAGAGGAGGGGGCTCGTGGGTCTCAAGTTGTTCATCGGCCGCTTCTGGTACACGGCACAATGCTCTGCTTTTCTAAAGCGAGTGGGAACGTGTAGACCTCCCCAAGGCATGAACACAGCAAGTTCACTCAGGAACGAAGGGATTGATTGAATCTTAGACTGAGAATAAGAGTGAAGAGGAAACACACTGGGTAGCAAGATGGGGAGAGAGGCAGGGCAATTGGGCAAGACAGAGAACTAGAAACTGCCATGGGCGGATGAATGAGCCGGCCATTAGCCTTGTGGTCCCACAAAGACAGATGCCAGTGCCAGTGGGAACATGATCTGAAGCACAGCGCTTCATAGGACACTGAAGACATTTAGGGCGGCTCCCGTGCTTTAATAGGTTTAGGGACAGGGTGGCATTCCTAGAAACAATATTAGAGCTATTACACACCACATAATATCTTGCTTAAAATAACTTGTTTTTGTTTTCTTACAACAAACGTTCTTTGTCAGAAGCTGGGGTAAACTTAGGGTAATATGCTGGCCATTATGGTTAGGGAATCCAAGGGACATTTGACTCTTATGCCCAAACCAAACCCACAAGGTCCTCAGTGGAGACAAGTTCCAAGGGCAATGACCAGCAGCTTTATTGTTAGCTTGAGGTTTGGCCGCAAACTCCAAAGCAGAACGCAGGTAAGCTGGGCTGCACTGCGTGGTCTGGGCTAGCGATCTAAGAGGCCTAGTTCCAAACTCCGTCTCCAGCCCCCCAGGTCGGAAAGGCCATTGCCGTCAGCACCCCCCAGCACTAGGGGAGGGGAACCAGGCAGCCTGAGCTCATGTTTGACCCGCTCAGAGCCAAGTTCCCACCGCACACTCATAGAAGGCCTTTTCCAAAGCCATTTAAAGCTAAATAACTGAGAACAGAACAAGCTGTGAGACCTGCTGTTTCACTTCCTTTACTTAGGGCAAGGCTACCTTGCTGTAACAAAACACTCCAAAATGCAGAAGCTTAAGGAATAGACGAACTTATGCCTCACTCAACATTTTGTGGCTGGTGTTCCAGCTACCATCTCTCAGGTTCCTGCCAAGTTGCTGCTCTTACACGCCTGTGACTGAATCCTGCTACTCAAGCGTGAGCCGAGGACCAGCAGCATCAGCATCACCCGGGATCTTGTCACAAATGCAAAATCTCAGGCTCCACCCTAGAGCTACTGTGGCGGTCAGGACCACTTACTAATGTGTAGGCACTAGTGCAGAATAAAAGTGTGGAGACTCTTGTGCAGAAATTACTAGGAATTCCAAGCCCACGAAAGCAGAGCATTAAACCAAGCACAGGCCCTCTCAAGCTCGGGGCTCTGTGCACTGCACAGGCCTCACTTCCCTGCAGCCGGACAGGTTAGCAGGAAAAGCTACACAGCCAGGGCATTAGAAACACTGATACTATGCCACTGAACTCAGGCTTTGCCTACTAATATCAGATACAGATGCCTGCAGCGCTACAGGAATGTAGTAACTCAAACATTAATAGTAAGTGGAGTCACCCAGTTGGAACAATGTATTACCTGGGCAAGCTGGGAATATGGCAACGGGGTCCACAC